CAGAATTGCTTCCACTGTGGAAAGCTGGGCCACTTCAGTAGACAGTGTCACAGACGAGAGCCACAGATAGGCAAGGGAGTATAGAGGAAGCTCGCACTCACTTGCTTTAAGTGTGGCTCTGAAGGACACTTAGGCAAGGGTGGCCCACATCAGGTCCTCGTGGCTGACAGCACTGACAGGCCCCAGCTCCCAGCTGGAAACAAAGGAGGATGCTTCAACGATTTAGATCCTTCCAGAAGAGATGTGGGTGACCATTAACATTACTGGTAAGTATATTCGTTTTCTCCTGGACACAAGAACCTACTATTTGGTCCTAAAAGCCTTCTGAGGTCCCAACTCTTCTCACTATTTCTTAGTTGTTGGAATTAACGGAAAACCTCATAAGCAGTTCCTTACTTCACCTCTGCCTTGCATGCGGACTTCTGAGCTGTAAAATAACTCAGTGGTAGATGGAATTTGCTCCAGGACTTAAGAACAATAAATGACATAGTCGAGCCTCTACACCTTGTGGTTCCTAACCTTTATACTATAATAGACAAAGTGACAGCCAATAGGCCTTTTATTTTAAGAACTACCTTCCCTCTGTAACTTGATTTGTGCTACTATTAGAACCTCTACTTGGAATATTATTGCTTTTTAATTTTTGACTGATGTACTTTTAACTTATTAGTTAAATTTGTGTCTTCTAGACTGCAATAGTTCCATGATATGAACATGTACGGCCAAGCACAATTGATAACAGTGCATCCAAATTCCAAAATCAACCTCCTCAATAGTCTACGTATTTCCTATAGCCAAAGGGGCCCTTTAGAGTAGTGAGAGAATATCTTCACCCTGAAACCTACAGTGTCCCTTTTCAGCAGGAAGTAGCTAAGAGAATACGCCGTCCTCTTTTCCTTATTAATCAGGGTGAAGTCTCTCTCAGGGAGGAGTGACAGGGAATGGCAAAAGACACAATGACAAAGAAGATTAATTAGAACCGGTTTTGACTGAACTGGGTGTAGTAGAGAAAATAGTGTAACAATGAATGAATGGAAACCCAAAATCTCTGTAAATGTTCATTAAAAATAATAAAATTTAATAATAAAAAAAAACCAAACTGCCAATGGGAGGAGGCAGCCCATGTCTCTCCTTCAGAACAGCTGACAGATTCCAACTCCATAGACTAGAGGCTCAGCATCAGGTAAGCAGTACAACTCACTATAGACTATACCATCAGAAGATACCTGACTCTCCAGAGGTGGTTTTTTTTGGTTTGTTGTGTGTTTTTTTTAAGAAGCAGTAAATTGCACTAAAGAAAACTGCCTATCTTCCCCCCACAGAGTAGCTGGTGGATGTGAACTAGATGCCTAGGCCACCAGAGGCCTCTCTTCAGATTACTTCAGATCACTTTTCTCAAGAGCAAATATAATAAGAACATTAAGCTATAAGCCCCTATCCATTCTAGGAACTTGTCTACCTCTTCTCCTTCAAGAAGAAGCAAACAGGAAGAGAGAATTATTACAAACTTTCTGACACAAAAGTGTGATGTAAAAATAATGATGGATATCAAGAAAGTGAGAGCAAGAGAAAAGGAAAGAATTAAGATTTGCTATGGGGGTGGGGTGGGGAGGGAAATCCTGACAACAAAAAACAAGACATTGGAACATATTATCAAAACATGTGGGATAAACTGAAGAAAATACAACCTCAGGAAAGGCTGTCAACACACAAATAAGTGTCAACATACACACAAGATGGGGAAGTACAAATATAGCCTACTTGGCTCAGCCTGACTTCTAATTCAAAACAGAAAAAAAAGAAAAAAAAAAAACCCAACCTCACCAAAGTGGTAAAAATAAGCTTGATGGCAGCAGTTAGGAGATTGCACTACATTTCTGTCAGCCTAAATACAAGCTGATAAAACACTAACCCAAATATTAATGACATAATTTTCAAAGAGTCCATCCATGCAGTAGTATCCTTTTTTATTTCCCTTTAATTAACTGTCCACTAGGTTACAGCACCTCTACTTCCTCTGCAAATTCCTATTTAGACTGGAACTAGTACTCTAGTTTCAGAGCCTGAATCATCATGAATGAACTGGTAAAATAAAATGGCATTTTGTTAGTGTCTTAAGTATATGCTATGATGACTTTGAATGCAAACTATAGCATAAAGATAACTTCCTTCTGGAATGAAAAGAAAACAAAAACAAAACCCAGCAAAATCCCACACAACTCTGGCAGAAGCATTAGGTCCAGGAAAGGCATGTCTGTTTCATGCCTGCATACCGCTCTCACTCACAAGCCATGCTTGTGCAGGCAAAGATCCAAAGCTGACTGCCTCAGGAAGCTGCAGAGCCAACAATTTCATTTACTCCCTTCCAATGTCAGCACAGGAAAGTGCTAATCAGGAAAGAATGGCAAGTCTACATGTTCTTGCATTAACAGGGTTTCACTATAAAAAAGAGCAGATTTCATTTGTAATTATCAGGGGGAAAGGAGTTTGTTTCCCTGAAATAAAAACACATCCAATTTTTAGTTAAGCAAATGCTTTTGTTTTCCTTCCTGTTTTTCTCTACAGACACTGCCACCTCATAGAAAAGCAATGTCTCAGCTTTTAGTCTCACTCATACTCGCTCTGCTTTACTGCAAATGGAAAAGACTCCTGACCATGAATTACTTGGTTCTAAAAATATAATCCACAAAAACCAAGTAGCTGAGAGGAAACGAGAGTTGGGAGCAAGGTATTTTCAAAAATTAAAAACTCAGGTAAGACCTACCTTGTGAGTAGAGAAGTATCTGCATCTCTAAAAGGACACAGGTAAATACCTGCACCAGGTTTTCCAATCCCAGGAGCTCAAAGGCCTCCCGAAGAGGATAATCCGAGAGAGGCAGTTCATTGGGCCCAGGCCTCTGGCAAATGACGGGCTCATAAACACCATAAAATTTCAGTGATCTTCCTGGAGGAGGAAGGGGTACTTCATAAAGGATATTATGGATGTAGCTCTCAAGTGGCAAGGGTGGTGGCTGCTGTGAGGTAACTGCCTCGTAAAGCTGGATGAGGAATTTCTTACAGGCCTGCATGAAAGGCAGCGGTGTTATCAGGCATATGCTTTTGGAAACATACAAAGTGTCTCTGCTGATGTCATAAGAGTTGTATCTCTGGAGTTTCAAAAGAGAAGTTGTATCTCCCTCATCAATGCTGCTTGCCAGTGAGTCCATGCTGCAGGAGGACGAAGCATACACACTGCTGTAATGCTCAGCGTTGTGCATCTGGTACAGCGTCTGCATTGCTGTGCAGATTTGCTTGCTTGTAACTTCTTCATAAAAAGTAAGAACAAAACCGTAAGTGCGGGAGCCATCTTCCCGGGTAATAATAAAGGAGTGGAACTGAGGATCTTTGTTGTCAGTTTGTGTTCTGAAAGACAGACCTTTAGGCATACACAACTGTGGAAAAAAGGGGAAAACGTATCAGAATCCAGTACACAAACAGCTTCAAGCCAGAAAAATATGCTTGTGCTTGTTTTTCAACAGAGCATGACTCAGGACATAGGATTTATCCAGATTCAACAGTATACTATAAGTACCTCATTTACATACAAATAAAATTATCCTTAAAGTGATTATATATACAAGTATGGAGGGAAATTATTACTGCATTGTAAGAGGATCCTACAGAGAACAAGAAAATCTCATATTCAGTCCCCATTTGAACAACCATGTTACATTGAACAAACCATGTAATTTCTCAGCTTTAGTTTCTTTTTCTAAAATATCAAAGACTTGAAGGTAAAGCATTCAAGTACCTTTACAAATATTGATCGTCTTAATACTAATTATTAATGATGATAATGTGGCAGAGCAAGAAGTAATAATAAGTGAAGGTTCACTTGATAAATGAGGGAAATGTATGAAAAGGAAAATGTAATAGTTTCATCCTTGCTATTCTGAACATTATAATCCTATAACCACTCATTTTAGAAAATAGCTTTTAAAAGGGAAAGATTTCTTATTTACTGAAGTAAAGGGGTTCAAAGTAGATATTCTTTCTAGGTTATTCTCATCAAGGATTATGCCTCATGGCATGTGAACTACCTAGATTATGTTAAACTTGGATATACATTATCTGAAGAGTTAAAAAGTGTTTATAAGTAAGGGGCTTAGAATATACAAGAAAGTAGAATTGATTTTTAAAAACATTTTAAATTAAAAAAATTTAAAAATACACTAAAGGAATCAATATTATTAATTTTATATTAATATTAATTTTATATATCCCTTTCTACTTTTGTACTGTAATATGTTTTTCACAGAGAAATCATTTTATCCTATGGTACTACACTATTTTTTTTGTTTCAGTTTTAGTAATATTGAAAATATTTAAAGTTCTCCCAAATCCCTACATAATCAATCAAGTGCAATTCAATTTGTGGGTCCCTTCATTCAAACAGTAAAAAATGTTTAGCTAGGATCTATTGTGAGTAGGTTTTGTAATGATAATGTAACAGTGAGAAAGATTCACATGGTCTCTGCTCCTAGACAACTCACAACCTTGTAAGAAAGGAGAAAAATTTAAAAATCCTAATATAAAGTATATGGAAAGTGCTATGCTAGGATACATTAATCAGCAAATTGACTGAGTAAGTATATACCTTGTATCCTTTCAAACTGGATATCTATCTTGCCCGCTTATACTACACAGTATACATATCTTTGCCTTTTTGAAAAAATTGTTTTTTTTTGGTTTATATACAGGTTTTACATGACCAGAATTAATTAAGTTCCCTGAAACTCCCAGTCTGCAACAGTATCCATAATTTGCTATAATTCACAGTTAAAAGAATCTGGACTTTTTGAAGAATGTGGCATCAAAATTGAAGGACGATAATTAACAATCATAAACACAACCTTGCCACTGAAATAGAAAAGGACTTGACGCTCTTACTGATGAAGATCAAAGACTATACACCTCATCAGGAAGAAAACAACAATTTTCATACAATGGAACCAATAAGCAACATCACGAAAAATGGAGAAAAGACTGAAATTGTCAATGATTTCTTTTTGCTTGGATCCACAACCAATGCCATAGGAACAGCTTTCAGGAAATCAAACACCACATTACTTTCAGCAAAGTTGCTGCTCAGCACCTCTTTCAAACGTTCAATTGCAAAGGTGTCTCTTTGAGGACTAAGGCATGCCTGACTCAAGCCATGATGCTTTCCCACCGTCTCATATGTGTACAAAAGCTGCTCAATCAATGAAGAGGACTAAAAAAGAATTGATGTCTCTGATTTATGGTGTCAACAAAGAACACTGAATAAACCATGGGCTGCCAGAAGAATGAGGAAATCTGTCTTGGAAGAAGTAGAGCCAGAATGTACTTTAGAAGTGAGGGCGACAAGACTTTACCTCCGATATTATTATCAGAAGGAATCAATCCATGGAAAAGGCCAGCCATTATGCTCTGTATGGCAGGGACTCAAAAGAAAAAGATGATCCTTAGGGAGGTGAAATGACACAAGTAGCTGCAAAAACAGGCTCAAACACATCAAGGGTTGTAAGAATGGTGCAAGGCTGGGTATCTTTTTATATTCTACTACAAAAAAGGTTGTTATGAGTCAGAACTAACTTGACAGTACATAGCAACAATATTTTTCTCCTTACTACCCTAATCTAAACCACCTTCATCTCCCACCTGGATAAATATAACATCATTCTAACCAGTGTTTTGTCCTGTCTAAACCCAAAAGCCAAAGCGATTCTTTAAACGTTGTTTTCAGGTGCTGTTGGGTTGACTATGACTCTTAGTGTCTCTATCGACAACTGATGGGATTCTTGTCGTAGCTTTAAACACAAATTAGATATTGTTACTCTTCTAAAAAGGTTTCTCACATCTCACAAAATCTAAAGTCCTTCAAAGACCTATAAGTCCTAGAAGACATGGTCCCAGCAGCTTCTCAGTCATCATTTGCTCTTTCTCTTTGGCTTACCTACACTGCTGTAGCAACAATGGCCATAATGTTCTCCTTGAATACACCCAGGATACTGTCAAAATTTGGTGTACTTTATGCTGAAAACTTCTAGAGATCCACCATGACACAATACTTGTGTCAATTTTGTATTTTAAAAAATTAACCCCACAAAATCATACTATCCTCAGAGTCTTGCCACTCCTTCATCACGAAAAATAGTCTTGAAACTGGGTGAGCTATTGAGTGTACTAGACCAGGGGTTGGGAAAATTTCTCTGTAAAGAGCCAAATATTCCAAGCTCTGTAGGCCATAAAGTCTGTCATAACTATCTAACTCAACTGCTGTGCCATAAAGGGACCAAAAAAAATGACCACTGACAACAAGTAAAGAGATGGGTATGGCTGTGTTCTAATAAAACTTAATTTACAAAAAAAAAAAAAAAAACCATTAAAGTGGCTCCAGCTTAGTTAGAACAGTGATGTGAACACCCGATGAGTGCTGAACTTAGGATAGAAAAGCCAATATACCTACTCTCTGACTGTAATATCCTAACCAGTCTTTTACCCTAGGAACCCTTGGAGGATATGTAAGAAGTCTGGCTAAGCTGCAATGCTGCAAAGACAATATGGAGATATTGCACAGAGAGAAAAGGAACTCCAGCTATGCTCCCAGGAAAAACCAGATATGTGATGGAGCAAGCCTTCAGATGATTCTTGTTCTTCGTCTTTGATGTGTCCCATCTGACATCAAACCAAGCAGACGTCTATCCCATTAAACTTTATCCAAATTGCAGATTCTTAAGCAAAATACTGAAATTATTGTTCTAAATTAAGAGTTAGCAAACTATAGCTCTTAGGGTCAAATCTAATCTGTCACCTCTTTTTGCAATAAAATTTTCCTGGAACATTCTCCAGGAATATCTATCTCCATTCATTACTCTCTCTACAACTGCATTTTACATTGCAACAGCAAAGCTGAGTTTACTACAAAGGTCTTTATAGGAAAAACTAGTAAGTTTCTATTTTAAGGCATTAAGTATTAAGACTTTATTACAAAGCAACTGCTAACCAAGACACTCCTATTAATTTTTTTTTAGCTTTCTACTAAAATGTACTTTCCTTAACTGCCCTATGAAATAATGTTATTCTCATCTTTTACATGTCATTAAAAATGTTATTTCTCATCTAAAAAATATTTATTGAATGTAGAAGCAATTAAAGTCTTGTGCTACATCAGCTGTGGGCTGGAAGCTTCTTGTTTAAGTCACTCAGGACCTGATGGGCAGGCCTTTGTATTTAAAAGGTTGGGCCCTGACTAAGTCTCCAGTTTGGAGGCTCATGTGTGAAGCAGATGGATTCTGGAGGGTGGGTTCTCTTGATTTTGTTGAAAGATGGGTGTAAACTGGCCATTTTTTATTTCAGTTCACAATCTCATAATTTTGTGTAAACTGACAGATCACCTGGATTTACTTAACAATCAGCCTAAATTTCGTTAACAATCAGATGTGGGCTGGAAGCTTAAGTCAATCAGGACCTGGGGGCAGGCCTTTGTATTTAAAAGTCAGTTGGCCCTTGGGCCTGCAACTTTCAGGCCTGGTGTTGGTTTGAGAAGAACACTGTTCTAAGTGGTATAGCACCAGTCTTTAAGCTTGCTGTACTGAGATAACTAGGGTTCCTGTGATAACTGAAAGCTGTAACACTGGTGTGTCAAATATAATAATGGTTATAACTCATGGTGGACAGGGTTTGGTAGAGCTCCCAGATTAAGACATGCTTGGAAGCAAGATTGGCATCCACTTCTTAAATAACAGGCCTCTGGAAAGTCTATGAACATCAGAGAAGCAACGATAGTTATAGAACAGATCTTTTGTTCATAGGATTCATACTCATATGAGTACTCGGCTCAATGGCACTTAACAATAACCATTACTAATACCACTATGTATAGAAATATATAAGGTTATAGAGATTATTCTCTAAATTTATTTTCTCTCTAGATTCCAAACTACTTGAGGAGTAGCACCATATTTAAATAACCTTCAATGTTTAAGAATGCCATGCATAGAAGTATGTTTTATTCAGGAACGTAAAACACAGTGACTAACAAAAAGGACGAAAAATAAAATTCATGGAGGTTAGCATTATAACTCCAGTAAAAATCTTAAAATATTTCCATCACAGAATAATTAAGATAGCTTCACTTAATTATATTTATATATGTTAAGATTTCTATTACTATATACATTTTTGTATATTAATAAAAAGGAGGTAAAAACTCATGAATACCTAAACCTATAGTGAAATGTATCCCTATATTGAAAATTATCCGTGTAGTGAAAAGCCATGTCAGGATCTTTTATTAATTGTCTTCAAATTAAAACTGCTTTCATCATAGTGATAAATCAATGAGATCTTCTGCTGATATTATGAATGAACACTTACTTGACAAAACTGCTATAGTAAATACAAATTG